TGTAGTTTCGCCCCTTATATTTAGTACACTTAAAAACCGGGATAATAGAGACGTTGAGCGAGAGTACATGATTGTAAAAAATTCACTGTAGTTTAGAATCACAATCAAAATCCTGGATTGTACCTTTCGGAGGTTGAGCGAGAATATTTTATGGGAGGATTGTAGTTCTGATTAATTTCTGCCGGCAGATTTGAAATTATAAACAATTGTTTACAAGTCCAAAAGTGACAGACAGTAAAATGTCCACCTTAAGTTCAAGTTTAATTAAATTGGGTGTGCTCACTGGTGATTGTGATGCCTTTTTGTTGGCTGCTGCAGCAAAGCGGATTAACAAATTTAACAAATCTACACTTTTCTGTTTTGATGAAATCGAGGTTTCTCGTTTCAAGTTGGATTTTAGATTTGAAAAAGCGGACATTTTGCGATTGAAATCAGAGTTACGGGTTCCAGATGTGTTAAAAATGCCTAATAGGACAGAATTCAGCGGACTAATTTGTGAGCTTTCCTGACATAATAATTACACTTGTAATTGATAATAATTTTACTGGAACGACCCGAACGTTGATGTTATGGACTTCACGTCAAAGTGTGAAGTCCACGATCATTGTGAACAGCCCCTTCCAACCGATGATGGAATGGACTATTTAGTCTTTGGTAGAAAACTGACTTGTCCGTCCCCCATATCAGTTCAAAAATTATCGTCACTTTATAATCACTCACTCTAAATAAAAATTACTAAGACCCACTAAATGTTTAATTAAAAACCTACAGTGCAGACTCCATATAGCCCGAGTCAGGGACATAGTCCCTGACTCAATAAGTCAGAGCCCGCTTCTAAATTCTTTTCCGAACTGACCGACATAATATCACCAACTTCCGTGTTGTGGATGGTTAAAAGTTTGTTAGATAGTTTCTATTATTTGGTACCAAATTTTTGAATTAGTTACAAATCATGTGCCTTGACCACCATGACCAGTGGCTTCTTTAACAACCTGAAGTTCTAAGCTGTATGTATGTGCTATTCAGCCTCCAAATCAAATTTCAGCTCGATATAACGATTTTTAAAAATCAGTCTGGGTCACCCCATACTGATTGTACTCTGGTCACTTTGGTCTGGTTGCACTTTGTTCACTTGTAACTTCATATTCTTTAATTAGCAGTCATTAAGTATCATTGTGCCGGATTTCATCTTTTTAAAACAATTTCTAAAAATCGGTATGGGTCACCCCATAGGGGCGTTCCAGATAAAAATTTTACCAATATCATATCATATTCTTTCATTAAGACCCATAAGCAACCTCTCCACCAAATTTCAGTTCGATATGATGGTTTTGAAAAATCGGTATGGGTCACCCCATAGGGTCACTCATGATGAAAATTTTTCCAACCTGAAGTTATTTTTTTCTATTAGGAGCCATTAGCAACCTCTGTACCAAATTTCAGCTCTCTACAACAATTTTGAAATTTTGGTGCATAAGACCCCACCCACTCCGATGACCCCCACCGGTCAACCACTGGACCTATTTCGCCCATCTTCGAACTCGTTTCCTAACTTTGTCCAATATGCATATGGTAAAAATTTCAAGTCAATCGGTTCAGCCGTTTTGGCTCTATCGTGCCGGACAGACAGACAGACAGACGGACGGACGGACATGACGGTTCCATAAGCCCTGACTCGGGCTAAAAAGTGGGTGACATATCCAAAAGTTAACATTTGTCCAAAATTGTGAAAAATGTGTCCCACGGGTGGATAAATGTTGCACAATTTCGGACAAGATTAACCTTTCGGTTGTGTGATCCTCTATTTTACTCAACCTTTAGTGACTTTTAATTGTTTTTATTAAGAGTGCACTTTAATGTCTTTGTCAATTTGGGAAATGTGAATAAAATTGGATGAAATGTTTGTTTGTGTATGTACCAGTATTTCCTTAATGATATGTGTATGTGCATGTGCATCGTTAAATAGAAATCTGGTATGGGTAGAGAGGTATTGATTTCTTAAGATTATAGTTGCCACCGTTTGGTAGGAAAATTATACCGGCCAGTATGAATTTGCTACTGATCTAAAAATCTGGGTGTGACAGAGAAATATGAACTTTGGCCTTTATGATTATGTATGTAGGGAGTGGGAAATGTTCCGTCCTGGAGAAATTTTTACTCCGTAATAAAACTTTAGTACCAAGCTATCAAAGCACGGTATTACTTACATACTAATACCACTTTCGTGGAGTCATATATCTAATCCTAAGAATACCGATTGGTACATATTATTTTAATATTGGATGGCTAAGAGTGTACATACACTCTTATTTTGTCACCAACTGGTTATAAATTTCTTATCTCTTGTGAAGATTTAAGTCGGTAAAACTTTATAATAAGTCGGTGACCATTGTAACCAATCGATGATAAATTTATAACCACGGCGGTAAAGTCACATTTCTGGTTATAATCACAACCCTATTTCTAAGTAAGAGTGTGTAAACAATTTTGCATTGAGGCGAATTACTAATCAGAAACGCCAGAAAGAAAGTATGTATATCGCGATTTAGGTATGGAAATAAACTCAATTTTGACATCGCCACTCCTGCCCCTATTGCCAACGCCCAACTACAATCCCGGTTACCTAGCGACCCCAATGATGTCAACAATTTTTCATCTCGTCTGATTTTGAAAACATTATCTTTCATGAAATAAAACTTTATCCTGCATACTTTTACACCTGAAGAAGGAGACAGTTTAATCCTGCAAGCTTGTGAATAAATCACTTCCAAAATGTTATCCATACGATCTGATAATTCTACTTTAAATTTTGCATAGATTGCTCATGGGTATGGAAATGAAAAAAAAAATTATTTTTGTGTCACAGTTTATTGGATGTGTGTGGACAAAGGTATTGGGGATTTTGTAGTAGACTAAATAAATAAATTTATCAAGTGTAACAATGAGGAGGTGCAATGTATTTATTTCCGATTCTGATCGGATCAACTTTATGTAAATTGTTCAAGCAGGGCAATAAGGGGGCTGGAATTTTTCCGTTTTCTAAAATTCACGTGTGAAGGAATTTAAAAAGAATTTCAGCCATAATCAAGATGTTTCAAACCGCTCTAGCTATTCGAAATGTTATCCAATTTCAAAATTGTGGAACATACATATTTTCTCAGAATTTAGTTTAGTAGTTTAACCAAAATCTAATTTTCAAGAAATCTGAATTTTTACAAATTAAGGTTTATATATGTATTTGCATTTTTTTAATTCAGAAATCAATCAATCAATTTATTAAATGATATATGTGTGGCCTTTGGCCCTCATTATGTTTACAAATAATTATGAAATTATATTTAAAATACATTAGAAAAATACTCTCAAAGATCGAAAAGTTTGAAAATGGTTACAAATGTTATTTAGATGTGTTTCAAAATTCAGAAATATGTATCCATGAAAACTTCAAATTATAAAATTTGTTTAGAAACGTGTTTTTGAACGAACTAATTCTGAGCATATGTATGTAAAATTTGAAAAGTTAGTCTTAAAAAATCAGAATTTTACTGAAATTTTAGTACATTTTTTACAGCGAAACCACGCAAAAAATACAAAAATAAGTCTTCAATTTCCCTGATGCATTTTAAAATTAGTCCGATTAAGATCAGAGATAACCACGTCACACTTCTGTGTTGTACATGTATAATTAATACACTTTAATTACCATTCTGACCTCAAGCAATTACCTCGCCACGTATTAAAAAAACATTAGACTTTAAATTTATGTGCTTAATAGGGAATGACAAATTGTTTAAAATTAATTGAACTACATTTATAAAAAAATGTGCAAACGCAAATGGTATCTAAACACACACGAAGGTAAAAGAGGATCAAAATTTGTAGATAATAATTAGAAGCCCCATACTCTTCCTTCCTGAAGTCATCATTCCTGACCCAGGAAGTGGTTAAATATGTAATTATGCTAAAAATTGATAAAAAATACTTGTCGATCTTAACACATATATGCATGTACTTCTAATTCGAAAAAATGATGGAATTAATTAATAAATAGATTTCTGTGTGTAAATTGCTGCATTCGTAATTTCCGGGTAGCATGAGTTAATCAGGTCGACTAAAGTTTGACAGCGGCGAGGATGCACAAGTCGTTATGCACACAATTTTTGCTCATTTTACTGAGTTTACAAAATAATTAAATGAATGAATGTATTAATAAATGCATAAGTGAATAAATAAATAAGTTGTGGAATCCAGTAAAAATATACTTATAAATGCATAATTAAGGAATCAGCAGAAATTGGCTGGAAAACAAGACCCAACATTAAGTCAACAAACTCCACTTGCTTATCACTCATGGGAAAAAATGCATTTATTTCTCAAATAATTCCATCACTTAAGTAATAATTTATATTTACTTGTGTGTATGCACTCTAAATAATTTGGAGAGAAATTGGCCACCGTGGACGTACATATAACAGCGTTCGGATAATGGTTAAAGAAACGTTTTGTCACCAAAGTCCAAACCTCGTGTAGTAAATACACGCGGGACGTCACTATATGTATATGTATATATATTTACAAAAAAAAACTTATTTTGATCATCTGAATATCCGATTTTGTTTAGAAGAAAGTGCTGGATTTTTTGAAAATTATGTCACGTGTGTTGGACACACGAATTTTTTTTTCGTTGGTGCCAAAACGCCTCCTTAATCATTGCCCAAAAATAGAGCACTATTATAGTATCTCCTCGGACGACGATTTGTCTCCAAATTATTTAGAGTGTATTCGACTAATATGCAAACTCAGTCTTGATGACGTTAAGAAAGCTTGCATTTTTCCCTTAAGGACAAAAGTGAGCTTGTTTTCTGTGCGCATTTTCATAAGCGTTCTTTATTTGCTAAACGGTTCTTTGTATTTATCCGATTACATGATGAGTTGGGTACAAATTCTGAATAAATACGGCCTCCTTCCAGACTCTTGGTTCAGTTTATATCCATATTTTGGGACGGCAACATAATACTCTCCCCGAGTGACAAGTTAGATTCATTAACTTGTCATTTTTTCGAAATAAGTTTCCACAAAAATAAATCAACTATTTTTTCCTCACCTAACACTTTTCTAGTACCAAAAATTAACTGTATGTACAGTCAAATAACAACAGCTGAAATTTGTCTCAAAATTAGTATGTAAAATTCAATCGATTTTAGAAATTTTCATTCAAACAGGTTAAATAAGGGGGGCAGGGTGAGACGAAAAATCAATGAAACATCATCATTTATTAGCAACTTACTTAAGCGTCACAAAAGTTCTGGAAGATAGTGAAGTTATTGTTTAGTCCTCATCCGCAAAAATGTTTGGGGGTGTGACTGGATTTTATTTCCATGCGGTCGCCACGGCCCTACTTTCATGGAGTGTCCTGCCCGAGAATGATGTCCAGATTTTAACGAGGTACTTATCTTTAAGTCGGAGTTATCGCGGTATAAATTTGAATCTCAGTCTACCCCTATCCAAGTACTTTCAATGCAAATTTCTAAAATGACATTAATTGCAAGAGATAATCGCTACTTTTTATACTTTGGTGTACAATTACATAATTTTGGTAGACAAAACTATCGATATTAAGAATTGTTAATTAATGTGCCGTTTTTTTACGACACTGCTTATTTTGTTCGGACACCTCAGAATGTGGACAGGGATCTAAATACTGCCAACTTACCGTACTGTACGGTGCGCATTGTGAGTTGGGTCAGTGGGCCGTATTTAGGTCCCTATCCACATTTTAAGCAGCACAACAACCAGTAAGTTTCACACAAAATTAAATCGCTTATATAAAAAAACAGTGAAGTGAACTTTACATTTTAGAGTCCAAAATTTGCATTTGTGTAAATACTCGCTAAACTGATGCCATTTTAAACACGTTAAATAGGGTAGAGTAAGGCTTCTGAAATTATGACGGGTCAAATCAAGGTCTGATGTCACCTTAAGATATTAAAAACAAATATTAACCTGGACTATGAAATTAGAAAATGCTTATTTAATTAATAATTCAAATAGTTAAGCATGAATGATGTATTTCAGACCTAATGGCGGGAATACATCGGGACCAGAGTGGGCCGTTTTCGACAAGAACTTCCGAACAATTCCACATTTTGTGACAATTTTGACGCAAAGATGAATCGCGCCATGGCGAGAATTTATGAAGGACTGGGAGCCATGAAACTGTCCACGATTCGGTTACACGAATTAAAGTAAGGTCCTACTACAAACAATTTATTCGTAAAACCCTTGTATATTTTTTACGCCAATTTAAATATGTAGCTCCGTATCCGATTTTAACCCACCCGATCCCAATGACGATGTACAGAAACAGATTGATGAGTTGAAACAGGACATTATTGATCTGGAGGCAGAAATCTCTGGCATGGATCCGACCAGTGACCTGGACCAACTTCGGGCAGCCATGGCGCTCATGCAGGAGGAAATTGCTGCCCTAAATACTGCCCTGGACAACGCGGCGAAACAGGGTAAGGCGAAATTGTATTTTATTCTTACTCTCCATCCACGCCTGATTGAACTTTTACAGAAATTCAGAATTCTTAGAAACTACGGCACTGTCAGTGCAAAAGTTCCCGTTCAGCATTATTTGAGAGAATGTGTGACCCAAAGTGGCGTAGTTTCTCAGAATTCTGAATTTCTGTAAAAGTTCAATCCTGCTCGGATAGAGAGTACATATTTATATTCTGGAAAGTAAAAAAAACGATATTTTTTTTTCATTTCTTGTCAATTAGATACAAATCTTTTTCGCATTTTATATTCGCCCAACTTTCAGCAAATTTAAAACTGCGTTTCTGCCATTTCTAGTTTAATATTTGGGAAAAGCAACAAATAAAAATATTTCTATGTATTTAGGTATGCTGCATATGTAAAAAAATAGTTTGAAGAATCTTAAGTTTAAGTTGTAACACTTTTCTTAATGCTTTTTCAAGATTTTAATACATTAAATTATGAAAAAAATTATATTCAAATTTTGAATTTTCACGATACCTATATATGTTCATGACCCCATTTTTGTTCTTTTATAGCGACTGATGAACTCCAGCCGGAAATAGATCAACTTATTGCCTCCCTCGATACCGTCGCTGCTAATGTATTCTCCTTAAAATTGGCCGTTGCTGATGTAGAAAGTGCCCTTGAACAGAGCCAAATTGTGAATATTGTTGCCCAAATCCTTTCCGGGCCGGATGCTGGAACGGTGTTCCTTTACGAACATGGCGTCTTCAAGCGGGGCAACGCCTCGACCGTGATGTCCACCATTGTGACTTTAGGCTACCCAGAGATCTTGAAAAACGTTAATTATTTCATCAACTTTTTGAGTTTTTTTTCTCAAATGGATGTCGAGCAACATGTGAGTAAAGATAATATAATACTCATAACGTGACTGACTGACGGCACGTGGTATTCGCACACGTGGTCTGCTTCGCAAAAAATATGGTCGACAAATAAATCCCTGCCGAAATATATGTACGTATTTGAAAACATAATTGTATATTGGCCAGATTGAACGTCCTAATTTTACACAGACACACAAGCCCGCTATCCAATTCTTGTTTAGATATTTACATGTATGTATTTAATCGATCAGATTTCCAACTTTGACCCTATTTCAAAATTTCGTTAAATTGTATTGTTCCAAAATTTGCGTATTTTACAAATTCAGTAATTTCTGCTGATTTACTAGACTAAGGTTGCATATACATACATATTTAACCTGTTATCACAATGGTAAAAAACTAAAGTTCATGCGAATTATTGTAACCCACCCATTCAAAACCGCGCAATTAAGTTACATAAAAATTGGCTCACTTGCTTATTTTCCGTACGTAATGTGAATAAATGCAAATTTTCTTTTTTACAGAAGCTATGGGGTTACCAAGCCCTCTACTACACCGTCGTTGCTAACGGTCAGCTCTACAAGGCCCCGCACCCTTTCATCCTTGCCCACAAAATCACAAAGCTGATTGGAACCACACCCATCGGTGACGTTGTCATACAGGCGAAATCTTTTCTTACCGACGTCGTCCATCCCGTAATTTCGAGGGTCGTCTTTCAATCAACGCAACCTCCTATGTGTGTGTCGGGCCTAGCCATAAGTCAGCTAGATTGCGCTAATGGAGTCCTGAATTCTACCATGGGTTTCAGGTATGAATCACAAAAACATATAAATATACTCTGCTTATCCATATGCACATACAATACGATGGTGTGAAGTCTAAGGCTCAGATTTGGTTGAAATTTTACAATTATGTGGTCCATTTCAATACAAGCAACGTTTCTTGAGGCACGTGGCTTGAATTTGGCCAATTATTTTAGGTCAAACTTGAAAAATTTGTGATGTTCCGCACTGGTAAATAAAGAGCTACATATGCTTCCTCCGCTTGGTAAAAATCGCCCTTTTTCAACTTTGACCTCAAATATTTTTCCAAATTCCAGCCACGTGCCTCAAGAAACCTCGTTTGTATTGACATGGACCACATAATTTTAAAATTCCAACCAAATCGGAGCCCTACACTTCAAACCATCGCATTGCTACCATACCTGTTCAAACCACGTTTCTTCATTCAAAGTTCAGGCATCCCAATTTCTGGAAATTTTCATTCACACTCAGTCATTTTCTTTCAAACTTATTTCATTTCACTTCATCGGACTTTATTTCTTACTTCGCCCCATGTGTTAAGCATAGCATGAAAACTGAAAGGAGTGAGAAATCCTTCATTCACAGTCACTCATCTGAAATGACTGAAACTTGCACTTATTTCCATTCAATCACAGGAAATTCATTGTCATTCTCTATCAAAATCAGTCACATGAATGAAACTGAACAGGTATGATTGCTACATAGTTCGTGCAATAATTTTTTTCCGCTTATTTCTTTTCAGCTTCGCCTATAACTTTGAGGGCGTGGATTCACGCAGCGTCCAGGTCGGTTGGGCACTTGCCCCCTTTGTAGATATGATTGGTGCAGCATATGCCAGTATGGCTTACCTCCTTCGCCGTGGGAACACCTTAATTTCTAAAATGGGATTAGGCTCGGAACCCATGATCGATTGGAATGATCCCAACGCTATTCTCCAGTTCTTCACGTCAAAGTGTGAAGTCCACGATAATTGTGAACAATCCCTTCCAACTGATAAAAATGTGAATTACTTAGTCTTTGGAGGAAATCTGGTTTGTCAATCGCCCATACCGAGCGTCCATAAATCACGTGATCGATTTTGAGTAATTTTGACTCCCCCCCTTGGTGACGAATGGTGATAAATTAAGTAGCCCCCACCCCCCTGTGGTCACGTGACAGCCGGACAAATTGCATAAAACAAATTATGTATGTTCCCTAGATTGATAATATTATTCCGAGGTCTTTCTAAATTCGCAATTAAATTAAATTTCCAGAAATGTAAAAAAATACTTACTAATATATGTATACTGCAAACTGTAATTTGGCATTTGTGAGTTATATCGATAGTCTGGTAGATTTTCGTGATACTCAACATGTACGTATGTGCATGAAATTAAGGAACAATTTTTAATTTCTGAAGAATTCTGGGAGTACATGTAATTTCAATACCTATGCCAATACGTATTTCTTAGATTTTCTTGGGGCTCGCATTTAAAATGTCAGCCCTACTCCCACCCAAAACCATGAACAATACGCCAATACGTAAGTTATTTATTATTACCCTGTACTAATCTTCATAATTGAAAAATGAAAACCAAAACCCAAAAATGTAAACACCTAGTCCTTCTAAAAATATATTTACATGCAACCTGATTATTTGCATGCAGTAATATATAACATAGGAATGTGATTAATGTTTTGATTTTTTTCAGTTCGTACTTTGTAGAATTTTCCCAAATTGTAAACTTTCTAAGGCCAATTTGCTTAATAATAAAACTAAAAAATATAACGTGGTTATATCTTACTCACATCAATAAGAACATCATCTACAAGCTCTTTTCTCTAGGTGCAACAACGTGAGTGAGAGTTATGTAAAAATTATCATTTAAAATTCAAAGTATCTACATACGACTCATTAATATCACTTCCCAGGAAAAATTATGAAAAACAATCCATTGTGGTTAAAGCCGTAGTTAGTTGAAGGGTAAAAGTAAAAAGATCGTTAATTAATTAAACTTCTACTCCAATTTCTGGACAATTTAGATTAATTCAGAGGTCGAGGCAATAACTCCATTGCTTGCTTCATCATAGGCTAAAAGTTTTAGCCTGTAATTAATTACCCGCCTGACGTAATTAGTATTTGAATAATTAATTTCTTTTTCTCGTTAGATGTAATTAAGTATTTCGTAATTAATTACATATCCAGGTAATTAAGCAACACTGGCTAAAACCTAAAAGAGGTTCGGAAAACTTTACAAAAACCTTTTCCCCCAACATAGTGGTCTCCACCTTTATTACTTTATTACTGCATAGCATAATATGCCCGTGTGGGTAAAGCGAACAAATTAATCACTGCTGGCAAATACACAAATAAGACAAGTCAATTTGGTATTTAATTTTGAAGACATTCATTTAATTAGGGCACCGCTTAAGTAACCTCAACATTTGAAAAGTCAGGTAACCTAATTAATCTCCAATTAAACACGCATGCACTTATACCTACATATATAGGGGCCCCTCCAGTAGGGAAATTTGTTCACTCATAGGTTTCTCCTTATTCCACATCTACCCTGAAAAAACTCCGGTAGAGTAAGATACATACTCTGTACTGGTATTGATTTGGTAATAGTTTCCTACCAGACTGGTTGTAGTTTGTTTCTGAGTGCCAATTTTCTCATTTCCTCAACATTAGTCGTAGCGCGTAATTATTACCATCAAAGGAATATACTTACTTCGATGATCCTTCAACACCAGTTTGCTAAGAGGGCAAAGTTTCAAAATGCAAGCGGCCTGCTTACGATTTGAGAAACAAATCCCAAGAATGTCCTTGCTTTACGAATTTCCTCCTGTGTTTGGGAACAGACGTTCTGGTTGGAAGAAATTCGTTCGATTAGCGACAGGAAATCGGTTCTTGCTTAAACTTGGATTCACTGGGTGGCCAATTCCCCCCAAATATGCCGTCTTCAAGTTGGTCACCGTCCTCAACTTTATCTATACTGTGGGAATTTTTGTAACTCTTGGGTTCTTCTACGCGGGTCAACTTTATATCAAAATCGGTGCCGTAATCATGCTAAGTATTGTAGGATTATTCGGGCTGTGTAATGTGGCATATAATGTTCTATTATGCTTCTTCTCCGACCAATTCAACTGGACCATGAGAGAAGTTAAGCAACTAGGTATGTTACACTTATATAACCCTTGAATAGATACCTAATATAGGGACCTAATCAGAAAAGCGTGGCCTATGTATGTATAATTTATTTCTTACAATGAAGGTGTTTAATCGTTATGGCTATGCAACTTTTTATCTTTATGAAGACATCCTCTCTTTGTTGTTAAGACAACCTATTTAAAATATCTATAAATATTCTGCCCATTCGTTCACTTTCGAATTGATGCAATGGCCTTGATTACACAAACATTAGGAATCCAATCATGATATGAGTTTCACAGTTGGTTATTTGCTTTAAGCAAGCTACATGAAACGTACTCTCGACTCTTGTAAAAAATTTCCACAGCAATATTATTTATAAACGAGCTACATAAGATTGAGAATAAAAATATTTGCAAAATCGTAGCACTTTGTGCTAAGTTGGTTGAAAGTCATAGCTCGAATGTCAGGCATTCTCTGTTATTGCGCTTAGTTTCTCAAACCCACGTAACCACACTAAGTTCGTGCAGTTTTGAAGTTGACAATTTCTTATAGTTGGGAATGCTTTTTTATATTGCAGCTGGTGACGTTGGCACTACAATTGTGAGCAAAGGGATTATGCAGTTAGTAATTCTATCGTATGGCTTCTTTTCCTTGATGTCCGCCCACGTCATGTTCGCCATATCACCCCTATTCGGGCTAAAGCTGGACCCTATGTACTATTTCCTGTTGCCCCTCCAGTTAAACGGTGGGTGGCGAGGAAAGGTATTACGCGTATGCGTCGGGATTTTACAAGGCTACCACTGGACGTTGGGAACGTACATCGTTTTCATCACTGGGACCGAATTTGTATCCATGTCGGCAAATATTTTGACCTGGCTTTCCAATCGGAAAAATCTGGATTCAGTGAAATATAACTCGATCCGAATATTGGTGACTTCTTACAATCAAATTTTTGCTTACCTTTGTTCATTTATACTAGGCTGCTCTACAGCTATTTACGTTAGCTCGATGAATGGCATGATAACATCGTACGGTAAAATACCGTTGGGAGTTTATTCAATTTTCCCTTTTGCAGCTGTGGTCATAATGCTGTGCTGGTCCGTGGGGCTGAATGCGTCGGCAAAGGTTTACATAAGGTCGGGAGAGTACATAAAGATGTACAAGGAAATGTGCAGATTGGAATTTGACCAGAAGTGTGGTGTCAGAGTATTAAGGTCGTTGAAAAGGGTGGGAATTATTTTTGGTAGTCTTGGGACTGTAACTAAGCTGTCCTCCTTGCAATTGTTCGATGTTTGGATGGATCAGACGGTGGATGTCTTGCTGGCCTCGGATTAGAATTGCTTATAGTTATGCGTTAGTTTTTTTTGGTTTAGCTTATAAAGAACAACTTTTTAGTTATATACTAAGAACCAATATTTTTTTTCAAAATTAATAATGCCGTCCATGACATTCGTCCACGGGCTTACACAGGAGACATAAGTCGAGGTGGAAACTAGTAAGTGTGACCTCAGGCGTTCCACACTTGGGTAAGATTTAGAGAATACTTGTATCTATAATTTTGGCCACCAGTAATAATTTAGAGGATTAAGGTCTGCAGATGCTGAGCACCGTTCTAGAGATAAAAAAAGTTAAAAAAAATCATCTGAAGCCAGTTTTGGACAATTTTGCACCTTGCGCAGGAGCAGAGTCCTGTTGAAAGGTCCAATATTGATTTTCGGAGGGTGTATGCTTGTGGTTAATAAGTTTGGGCTCTGGGACACTCTGAAAATGATTCTTGGTCCGAACTTTTACTCCTTGCGGTAAACAACAGACATTTGCCTTTTCCGGCCAAATTGCTCACATTCAAAGATGCGAAAACTTATGCTTCCAACAGTTTCTAAGGTGGTAGTTTCTGTTTATGACTGGAATGATTTCTCAATCGAGAACCTTTGCACGAACAGCCATGGCATATTTGTTAAAAGGCTACAAAATGTGCCCCATATACTAATTTTTTAAGGAGAGGTCGCAATATAATTTTCTGGTTTTATACAAGGACTCGCAGTTGGACTGGAGGATGGCGACTACTCGGAATTACTCCAAAAAAATTACGAACAATTAAAAAATGTCGATAAAATTGGCTTCATATATACAGTCAATTCAAAAAGTATAGGCAACACCCACACAAGCTAAACAAAATTATCTGTAACTTTTGCATGCATCATCAAATTAGCATGAAACTTTGCACGAATTTGGAAAAACTAATGTAGTGTTCAATTATAATCATGTTTCCGACTAAAATTAAATAACCAGCACGTTATCCTGACTTTGATACGAATTAGTCAGGTACGAACCTCCAAAAAGTATTGGGAACGTGTGTTAAAATTGTTTGTGCGAAATTTTTATCACGACATACCACTGGTCAAGGTAAATTAATCCGATTACAGAATATAGCTCTACATATGTATATGTTTCTTCCTTCTCCGTGGAAACACCTGGAACACCTACAAGTCTCTAAGCGACCATCCCGTCATGGATTAAAATGACCCTCATATCGCGTTAAGTACCGTTGTGGCCAAGTGTTATTTCCAAGATTGTTCGAAATCCATGCCCCCCCTGGTGAGGGACGTGTCTTACCAGATATTTGATGGAAAAATGACTTGCCTGTGCCCCAACATAATTTATAATTTCTGAATTCTAAACATATATTTACATCGAAATTGTTTGATGCACGATTAAAAGTAATTTTAGCGTTTTGAGGAGTAAATGCAATCTAAATTAAATTAAATATACTAAATTTAGAGGAATGATGAGTAAATAAAGCGCTAAATCTAAATCTTCTGGATTTAGTACAGTTTCCCTAATAAAGTTGGAGGTTCATTAGCCTTATCAAAAGGGTGACATTATTTTTAAAAGTGTAGGAGTAGATGAAAAAGGATTGTGATTTATGTTTCAAAAATATTTGTCATTAAATTCGTAATTCACAGACGCAAACAAATTATTATTTAGAATTTTCCTAAATTGTAAACTTTCTCTTGCTTAATAATGAAACTAAAAAATAAAACGTGGTTGGTTCCTGCATGTCGTCTTTCTCGCAGAAATGAACTACCTCTCTGCCTCTAAGGGATCGTCCATATATTACGTCATCAAAATAGTGGGTGGGTGGTTTTGATCTTGATGACGTCAACATATTTCTGTAGATTTCATTGTCTTCGCTCAATTTTTTACGGGCTCTCGTGAGGCTAGCGCAAAGCGCCTCACCTCACTTAACCATGTCTCATCTTGCGAGAAATAGAAACCATGGACCGTGATTTTATTCTTTCGGCTGAATACCGTAATATCAGCTTTAATTATACCAACTACATTTTGATGGACTAAAATAAATTTAAAAACTTCGTTTCGACGAAATCATCTGGATTTTGAGCAAGGCCACAACATTTATGCATGAATATTTAAGTATATCGAATTGTAAGTTTTTTTGATTAACTTGTAATTAAATTATTCTCGAATTAAACTTGGCAGCCCTTTAATATTTATGGCTTTTACAATAATCAAAATTTACAATCATTTAGGTAAAACCTCATTTTCCCATTTTAATAATAAATGAGCGGAGAAATACAGCAGACAATACGTTATTGGAGCTGAAAAAATTGCATTAAATTAAGCATTAAAATGATATCCCAT